GAAGCCCTTAATGAGTAATGTTTAAATCATTAAACAGTGACCTAATTCACTTCTGTTATGTCATCCTGCTTTTCATCCTGACACTTGCCTGAAGAAGGAAAGGGCAGGGTTGAGAGGAAGTATTATCAAATGATGCTTCAAGCCAGGTTGTCATCTATGATCAAATGCTGTTACATTATTGGTTTTTCCACAGAGTCCAGTGGAAAACACAAGATTAGCTGGCCCAAAGGGCAAATATCACTATGGTTTAAGGATACTCCTGAGGTTTAAGTCCTCTGAGGTTACAATTCTACTACAGAATCTTTTTTTAAAAATCAGGGTCTTGCTAAGTCATTAAGTTGCCCAGGCTGTGCTTGGATTTGCAATCCTCTTGCCTAAGCCTCTCAGAGTGCTGGGATTACGGGTATGTGCCACCATGCCCAAAATCATTTTAGACGAATTATATAACAGATGGACTGGAAGCCAGGCATGGTGGCACATACCTGTAAAGTGAGCACTCTAGGAGGCCGAAGCAGAAGGATCATAAGTTCCAAGTCTAGCCTGAGCAACTTAATGAGATCCTGTCTCAAAACTTAAAAATCAAAAAGGTCTGGGGCTGGGGATTTAGCTTAGTGGTTCTGCTGGCTGCCTCGCAAGCACAAGGTCCCAAGTTCGTTTCCCAGTACCAAAAAAAAAACAACTCATAGACGTTATCATCCAATCATAAGCATTTAAATGCTAGCTCTGCCATTATCCTAAGTGGACTTTTCTCATGATTGAATAAGACTCTGAAAGGGGGGGGGGGGGAGCAGTGAGATATATAAAATTATTGCTGAGGTATCTACTCTCTAACAACTGAGTGTATTAGTTTCCTATGCTATTGTGACAAATTACCACATTTACCACATTAACTTAGTGACTTAAAATAACACAAAATTATTTTCTTAGAGTTCTGGAAGTCAGAAATCTAAAAAGGCTTTTGCTGGGCTACAAAGAAGCTGTCAGCAGACTGTGCTTTCTCTGGAGTCTCCAGGGGGAAACCTGTCCCCTTGTATTTCCTTCACGCTTCAGCTGACAGCTCTTTCCTCCCTCCTCAGGGCATATCACTCAGCCTCTGACACTTACCACCACTGCCTCCATCTCTCCTTCCTGCCTCACTCTTACAAGGATGCTTGTGATTACATTTAGAATCTACCCAGATAAGCCAAGATCATCTTCTTACCTCAAGATCTTTAATTTATTTACATCTGAAAACCTCTTTTTGCCATATAAGGTACCATTTTCACAAACTGAAGATTAAGATATGGATGTCCCGGGTAAGAGGAGTCATTGTTCAGCCTCCCAAAGGTCTAAACCCCCAGGTACCAAGCAGGTACCCCTTGTTCTGTATCTCTACCTTCTCTCTTCACTGTGTACCATTTTCCCCCTTTCATCATCTAAGCCCATAAAATAGAGGCTCTACTCAAAATCTGACACTTAATACAAATTTCAAACTTAGCTCAAAGAATTTAGTAAAAAATCTTGTATTAGCTTCCAGGAAAAAGTTAAGATGGCCTCTGACTAACTGCCCAAAAGAAAGGCTGAATCAAACATGATTGCACAATTTCATACTCAGTACTTGAATCTTACTGAGTGTCTAGCACCAGAGACAAGAAAGCAGTCTCTTCCTCCAGGAAAACAGAATCTACATGATAAGAGGACATGCCAAGTAGTAACAAACAACACACACACAATAGTCATCAAGAAACTTTGAGGTGTGGGTGCCAGGAGATTGAGAGGCTGGAAAAGGAGATTAGCATGGACAGAAGCAATCTAGGGTTCACACAAAAAGAATAACTCTGACAGCAAAGGTATGATGATGTGACCACACATGAGTAAGGACACCGGCTGAGTGAAATGTGACAAATAACAGAAGAAAACACAAAGTCTTAAAATCTCGCTTTATTTAAAAAACAACTAGAATCACTGTAGGTTTACTGACAGGGATCTCAAATGGAAGATTTCAGGGATACTAATCTATAAATAACAAGTAAGAATTTCCTCATCATGCTGAGATGGACTCATATTATGAGAAAAGGGCCTGACTGAGGGTGATGTCAGTGGAAGCTGAACACCACAGTCAATGTTCCAGACAAAGAAAATCTTAGGAGTTTGAAGAAAGATCACTTTTAAACTAAAAAGGAGCAGGAAGTCCAGAAGACTTCTTAATCTGCACTGGAGGGACTGGCAGAGCTAGTACCAGGGTCACCACTCAGGAATACAAGGAAACATCCATGAGTAAGGGCCAAGGTTCCTCCTTCTCTCTACTGAGATCAGGACAATGGAGAAGCTTCATAACAGTGCAGAAGTGTAAGGAAACAGGGCTCAGGGTAGTAAGAGTGTTCAGCACAGTACAAACACTGAAGCTCCTGAATTCACAAGCTCTTGAAGGAAGTTTCAGATCTAGACAGGGGACAACAGGAAACACATTCCATTCACCAGAGTAGATGGGGAGATTTTCTACTGCAGGACTCAAGAAGAGGTGTAGTACAATGTCAAGTCAAAAGCCACAGGAAGCCAGGACTGGTGGCATGGGCCTTTCATTCCATCTACTTGGGAGGCTGAGGCAGGATCACAAGTTGAAAACCAGCATGGAGAGCTTAGCAAGATCTTGTCTCAAAATAAAACAGAAAGGGCTAGGGATGTCATTCAGTGATAGAGGACTTGCTTAGCATACACAAAGCCCTGGGTTAAATTTCCAGTACAGTAAAATACACAAACATGTGTGTGTGTGTGTGTGTGTGTGTGTGTGTGTGTATGCCACCTTTAGAAAAGTTAAAAGTAGCTACAAATTCATGTGTGCTTGTAGCTGTCTAAAGGAGTATTGTAAGCATATAATAAAAACTGCAAAATGTGATTATCTGTGGTTGGATGGCACTACAAATGGCAAAGGAACTGAACAATTTCATCCCCCCATAAAAGCAATTAAAAATCTGGCAGAACTGGCAGAATCAATTTTTTAGAAATTGCATAAATCAACCAACTTGGAAATATTAAACAAGAAAAACAACTGGATTTCAATAAAGACAGTGAGCTCTGTGGCTTCTTAACAACCACATCCTAGAATTACTGCCGCCTTCCTAGCTCACTGGTAACCTTGAAAACATAAAATAACAGCCCACATTTCCAGTAGTGTAGTAGGAAGAGAGCTGCGGCTTCTTCAAAGCCCAGTCTAAGTAACAGTCATGCCTGGACCTACCTGGGCTCCCCGGCTCAGCCTGGTAGGATGGCCACTGTTTACCTGGCAGGAAACTCTCACCTGCTAAGGCCTCCAGCAAGGAGGAACCTGTCAAACATTGCCAGCAATCCTTCAGAGTCACTGCTGCCATGGCAAGGTAAAGAGTACACTCACCAGAAAGAGGACAAGAAAACCTGAGGAACAAGGTAAGATGTCCAGGGGGCCTTGCAAAGTGCAACCAAGGGGGCCACAGGTACATAATCAGTTTCACTGTCAAAAGCCAAAGCACTGAAAGCAGCAAGGCACAAGAACTCCGCACACACCAGGAATCCTCAGTAAAGATACCAGCTTTTTCCTCATCAGACACTGGCAAGGCCAGAAAGGAAAAACTGCCAGCTAAGAATTTTACATCCAGCAATATCATCCCTCAAAAAGGAAGGAGAAATCAAGAGATTCCCAGACGAACAAAACCTGACAGTCAGTTGCTAACATGTCTGACTCACAGAAATGCTAAAGGGAGTCCTCAGGCTGAAAGAAAGAACACCAACAGTCACTCAAAACAAGAGTGCCAATAAAGGATATCGCACAGTTAATACAATGAGACAACATAAATAAATTTTTTGTTTGTAAATCTTTTTGGACCTGATTTAAAGATAATAACATAAACCAATAATCATAAATCTGTGTGGGCCACTGTATAAAAATAAATTTATGACAATACCAGCATAAAAGGAGGATAGAGCTACACAGAAGCAAAGTCTCTGAATACTATTAAAATTAAACTGGTATTAATCTGATGAGATTGTTGTAAATTGAGATCTTAGTAAGATGTGGTGGTACACACCAGTAATGCCAGCACTCAGGAGGCTAAGGCAGGAGGGTCGTGAGTTTGAGAGCAGCCAGGGCTATAAACCAAATATGAAGCCAGCCTTGGACTATATACTAAGACCCTGTCTACAAAAAGAAAACCCTAATAAACAAATAAAATTGAGATTTTAATTGTAATTTCCAGGTCAAGCACTAAGAAAATAAAAATGTATACTACAAGAAAAAGATTACCAGGGGATAGTGGTGCATGCCTAGAATCTCAACACCCTGGGAGGTTGATGAGGAAGAATGCAAGTAACCATGGACTTAGCAAGACCCTGCCTCAAAATAAAATAAGTAAATAAAGAGCTGGGGATTCAGCACATTGTGATGGCCCTGGGTTCAATCCTCAGTACAAGGAGAGGGGGAAGGGGAGGAAAAGGGGAGCAGGAGGGCAGAGAAAAGAAGGAAGGAAGACAGGAAGGCAGGCAGGCAGAAAGATAAAAAGATGGACCGATGGATGGATGGAAGGATGGAGTAATACCTGTGTGCTACTCTGTGTGTCTACTAGCGGGTAAGAGTACTTCGGATAGGAAGTACAAATGAGATTTTTTTCAGCTTAAACATTTTATATAGCTTTGAGGTTTTTGAACTCTACGATTACCTAAAAAAAAAAAAAACTTTTTTATCACCTTTTTAAAGAAGGGTTTGTGGCCACAGGCTACCATTTAGCAAGAGAGGAAAGAAGAAAAACTTCACAAGTCACCTCAGAGAGAGAGAGTAGTAGGACACATGAGTGGTGTGGAGAGTAGAGGCCAAGGGAAGCTGGGCAGAGCTGGTGCCCTGGTAGCTCGGGTATCTTTCCCTGACGCAGCAAGAGTAGCCGCCCCACTGGGAGTTCTGGACCCACCTGAGCAGGTACCTCCTTCCGCCTCACCCCACTTCCAAGGAAGCAGTGCTCTGGGGAAGCTCCTTGCCCACCCCAGCCTGCCCTCACCTGGACAAGAGCTCTGAGGATGCATGGGCTCCACCAACCACGGCTCCTCTCCTTGCTCTAACAGGGAGATGACCTCAGGCTTGGTGATCTGGTGCCCTACACGAGGAGGAAATGCGGACTTGTGTCAGTGCAGCTTCGGGGCAGCCCAAGAAGGCTTCCCTTGTCTATCTTCCCCATGGGTACCCACATGATCAGACAATGTAGGCATCAAAAGCACTAGCAGGTAGCCCCATTCCTCAGCCTCAGGACTCAGGCCCACCCCTCCCACAGTGTTACAGAGGCCCCTGACAGGAGCAGCTTGTGTACCCAGCAGGGCTGCCTCACCCACAGACAGCAGGTGGCCGAAGGTCTCCAGCATCACGTCGCGGTACAGCATCCTCTGTGTAGGGTCCAGCTGCCCCCACTCCTCCTGGGTGAAGTCCACGGCCACATCTCGGAAGGTCACCGGCTCCTAGAAAATCACAGGGTTCGCTCGCAGCCTTGGGTGGAATGAGGAGGAGATGGAGGGGACAGAGGGGACATGGCCAGCTCTCTGAGGACCTGAGACCATGCTGGTTTGGATCCTGATCTCACAAACCAAATGTAAGAAGACATTCTGGAGACAAGTGAGGAAAACTGCACATGGACTGGGAAACACATTACTGTCAACTGTGCTGGCTCTGATAAAGCTGTGGTTGTGGTCTGAAAAGAAAGTACGTATCTCAGTGAGTCAGGTTTAGTTGGCTCACAGTTCTGAGATTTCCTGGTCAATGGGGTCCACTGCTTCCAGCCTGCGGTGAGGCAGAAACCTCATTGCAGAAGAGCATGGTGGGGGAAAGCTGCTCACCTCATGGAAGCAGAAAGCAGAGGAGGAACCTGTGCTGCAGCTTCCCTTCTACGTCTGTTTCATCAGGGCCCCTCATTCCTGGATGGTGCTGCCCAGCCACATGGGAGGCACCCCAGACCACTGATCCTCAGGGCAATCTTCTCTAGAAATACCCTCACACAACAGAAGTGTGCTTCATTAAGGTCCTAGGTCAGTGATGGCAAGCCTTTTAGAGCTGCTGATGACAACAAACAGCCTGCTGTGGCACACATGCCATGCATTCACTACCACTGTCCTAGGCGCTTCCCCATCCAATCAAGTTGGCAGGATGAAGCATCACAGTCTCTCAGATACACTAACTACACAAACAGAAGTGCTCACAAGGGAAACGGTACAATTCTGACATTTGCTCCAAAGTACTCCAGTTTAACAAAAAGGCTGTGTTAGAACAAATGAAAGGCAGTGAGCTGAAAGCTGGCAGTTGCTGAAGCTGTGGGTGAGATGCTTGTGGAAGGCCAAGCACGGCCAGACAACATCCACACCAACCCTCAAATCTGTGACTGCAACCTGAACAATAAGGACTTTATAGTAGACAGGACAAGCTAAAGATATCGACATGGAAAGATTATCCTGAGCACACAGGGGTCCCAGTGGAATCATACAAAGGAGACAAGGATGAAAACAGAAGTCTGAGCCATGTGCTTTCAAGATGGAGGAGGTGAGCCCAGGAAGGAAGCAGTGACAGCAAAACAGATTCTCACCTAGTCCTCCTGCTGGGACCCAGCCCTAAACACTCATCTGAAGACTTCCACATTCCAGAGCAAGAGAATAACATGCTGTTTGAGGCCATGAAATCTGTGGTAGTGTTACAACAGCAAAAGAAAACTAAAACAGGTTACGTTCTACTCTGGGGTCCAAAAATCTCCTAAATAAAAATTAAACAAAACAAAACTAAGAAGAGATACCCAGACAGTGATGAGAACAAGCCAGCAGTGCCAGGAGTCGCACAAACCCCTGCTAGAACTGCTGAGCCACCAGCAGAATGGGGGCCCCTGCCCCACAAGCCAGGAAGAGCTGTGGCAGCACAGAGCCTTCCCCAGGGGTGTGCAGGGGTGTGACCCAGGGTGGAGACAGACGAGCACAAAGCATGTGTGCAGGATGGCTCTGCCAGCACCCACCCACCACACAGGCAGCACTACCCACAGCACTGCCCTGAGGCCTGTGCAAAAGCCCCAGGGGCCATCCAGACGCAGTGTGGGAGCTTTCAGGCTCCCAGGTGAGCCAAGGCCCACCCCCAGCCCAGCACGGGCGGGTGTCTGTGGCCTGGAGACTGCAAGCAGCACCCAACCAGCCGTGGAGCCCAGAGCAGGACCTGTGGGGAGGGTGGGAGGCAAGCACTGGTCATGAATCGGCAAGGCAGGATTCTGAAACATACCAACAGACCAGAGGAGCCCAGACTCAAGGGACACCTGCCATGTAGGCAGAGATGGACCTCAGTGGCCAAGAGGACAGGGAATCTACAGCAGCTGCATCCAACCTCTAAAGCACTGTACATCCTACTCTAAGGCTCTCAGCCCTCAGAGGCTGTGGTGCAAAATGGACAGAATGCTACAGGGAAGACTTCCTGGGAGAACAGAATGACCCACAGGACATGAGAGAGAAGGCTGGGCATGGTGGTGCATGCTGTAATCCCAGCTACCTGGGAGCCTGAAGCAAGGGGATCACAAGTTCAAGGACAGCCTGGGCAACTTAAATGAGACACTGTCTCAAAAAATGTTTAAAAGGATGAGGAATGTTGCCTAGCATGCATGAGGCCCTTTTCCAATCCCCAGTACTGAAAAGAAAAAAAAACAGATCTACAGGTAGATATTGATACAGACATATATAGAGATATATGCAGATATAAAATGATTATATATAGATATATATAGATATAAAATAGATATAAAATGTGAGAATGTGATTGCCAAAGTTTCTGCCCTCTTCCCAAGAAAAGGACATAGAATATAGAGGGGAGGTCAGAACACAGTTTACTCAGGAGGCCTGCCACCCAATGGAAGACTGTAGAAAGACAGTATAAAGGAAAAGGAGGGTTTTTTAAAGTAATACAACACACTCAAAATATGACACAAAAACATTACCCATGATCATATATTTGACAAAACATATTAACATGTATTTGACAAAACACATATTCGACAAAAGCACACCACAAATTAAGAGAAGCTATAGAATGGGAGGAGATAATTCATATATGGCAAAGAATCAGGATTCAGAATGCACTGAAACAGCCACCTATTAGGCAAGCCAGTCTAGAAATCTAAGGACAGGGGAGTAAGAAAAGAGACACAAATATCCAATAAAGATTTCATAAGATAGTCACCCCTACTAGCAATCAGGGATACTCACATGAGTGTACTACTATATACCCTTGCGGTCTCAAGGTAAGCAAAAATTAACCCAATGGTGTCAAGGGCCAGCAAGGGCGCTGGGAAGCAGGCACTCTCCCCACCAAGGGGGGAGACTGAGCAAGGCTGTGTGCCTTTGGAGAGCCACGTGGCGGCACTAGTAACACGAGAAAACCTGGCAGAATTCTTCTGGGGCACGCCAACTCACACACATGCACAATGCGCAACCATGAAGAAAACCACACAGTTTGGACTCGACCAAAAATGACAGGGCAAGGGAGTAACAAGCCCATCCAAAAAGAAAAGGAGGGACACACAGTGGCCGCGTCCAGTGGGTACTACCAGGAGTGCACAAGGAAGGAACCTGGCCTACTCCATCTATCAACAGAGAGACCTCAAAGTTACAAAAAGGTTTTTGGGGGGTTTTGGGGGGGTTTTTTGTACCGGGAATTGAACTCAGGGATTTGCACTTGCCAGGCAGAAGCAGTACCTCTGAGCTACATTTCCGACTTCCATAAAGGTTTTTAAAAAGTTACACGTGGGGGGGAAATGTTAAAAAAAAAAAAAAAAAAAAAAAACCAGACTGTGTATCTATGTCTACATGGTTAACATACAAAAATGAAATTGGATTATGTCACAATGAATCCACCACCAGCTAATCTGACAAAGGGTGAGAAAACAACTGAGGACTACACAAAAATGGAAAACCACTGGGTGCAGTGGTACACACTGTAATCCAAGCTTCTAGGGAGGCTGACAGAACAATTACAAACGCAGCTTGAGCCACAGATACTCAAAATTTAGAGGCTCAGCAGTGCCCCTCCATGGCAGTGACAGCCTTGAAACCACAAGGCCCTAGGTCCAACACCCTGTACCACCACAGTAATGAGGATAAAGAAAAACATAAAAAGCAAATATGGGATGCAGTTTGCTCAACTACTTTTTACTTTCCTAAAAGTAAAGAATTGGCCAAAATAAAATTTAAAATGGCAAAAACTTCCAGGATTTAAAAAGATGTCATCCAACTGGAATGCCTATGGGCTGAAGAGCAAGAGTCCCCACATTGAGCCGAACACTCCCCAATGCTGGGGCCCGTGAGGCCTCACCTGAGATCAGAGAAGACCAAGCACCTGTCTAGAACTGAAAATGGAAGGCTATAGGGAAAACAGCAGTCTCTGAGGACAAGAGGGACCCTTGAGCACAGGCAACATGACCTTCTCCGCAACCAGATCTTCTGCGGTGAGGAGGCAGAGGACCCGGGGGGCAACACTGCAAACCTCACAATCTGCACCTACATTTTCCCGTCGGAAGCCTCACCCAACTCTGTGCACATCTTTGCACATATCAGTGCGCACATGTACGCCTCTAGGCACTTAAAGCACTTCCTGGGACCCGCTTACACAGCAGCCACACATTTAAACCCTCGTGAGGACTGGAAAGCCAAGGCCAGGGTGCAGGGCGGGGTCTCAGTGTCTCCCCAATGGAGTCTTGCCTGGTGGTCTGAGGCCCTTGACTGTTCAGTACATCATGGAACCGGGGGCAACTCAGATGGCTTCTCAAGAGATCATTTCAATATTTTAGTGCACTTTCTTTACAGAGAAGAAAAACGTATCCAGATTGTACACATTATGGAGAATGCCCAAGGATGGGTGCAGACGATTACTAGTGTTTTAGTACACATTTATCACGCATGTATTCTTGGTGGATTATTAAGGGGTTTGAGGCATTTCCATATTTGGGGGGAATGGGGTTTTTAGCTCAAATGGGATATTATCACTCTTATTTTCCCCTATTCTTTGAAATAATAGGATCTAGGATCCCGCTAGCTAAAACTTCACTACTTAACATGTTTCCAAGGATGGACTATTTCAATGAGGGATGATAGCATCTTATATTTTCACCAAGTGAATGCTTTATTTCAATGAATACTTAACTTGGATAGAACCATAAAGGGACAGAGGCTCATTTGCATTCCCAAAGACATTATTTAATTAAAAACTGACATGATTCAAGTTCAGGTTTCCCACAAGGGAAAATCCAGAATGAATGTGGGGAGGGGGCCAGGATGTTTTCAGAAATCACAACTCTTCAGACATTAGAAATTGTTGTTATTTTAATTGTTTTATTTTCTCACCATTACTCTAACCATCCAGATACCCTCACATAAACCAGCAGTAGAGTGCAGCATCACGGTTAACCAGGCTTCTTCATGGAGTTTGCTTATAACTAACATATGTTCCCAAGTGACTGACTCAGGCGCACCTTTCAGCCTAACCTAGCTCCACTGCTGATTCTGTAAAATAACTACAGACCACAAGGCAGGAGGCTCAGTCTCCAGCCCTAAAGCCAGGAACCCACCCCTGCCTCACTCCTCTCAGGCCTTCTGCTTCCTGGGTACAGCACACTTACGATGTAGCACCTCACTGTCAACTTTGGAACTGCAGGAGGTTGTGTTAATTTTTGTTTAATTTGGGGGGGGAGCATAAAGTTAAGTAGAGATGTTATCTTTAAAATTTTTCTATCACAGTATCTCATAATTGCATGATTCCTTATTTTAACGTACAAAGAAAAGACTTAGGGATTCTTTTTCTTCACCTTTCATAGCAGGAAATCAACAGAGCAAATGTTAATCTGATGAAATTAGAAAAACTGGATGTAAAACTTCCCATTTAGAGGCATGCAGATAACCTTAAAATACTGAAAGCCAGTTAAAAAGTTATACTTTCATCTTGAAAATAAAATCCTGATGCAGATTACAACACAGCCGACCCTCAAAAGCACCACGCTAAGTGAAAGAAGCCAGACACAGCAGGCCAGACGGTGCATGATTCCATTTCTATGAGACGCTTGCAACAGGCGTCCATAGAAAGTAGATTCATGGTGCCAGAGGCTGCAAGAAGGGAGCAGGGAGTGTCTGCTCATGGATACAGGGCATCTTTGGGGGGTAAGAAAAACGTTGCAGTCAGATACTGTTAAGATGTACAATTCTGTGAATACACTAAAAACCAATGAACTGTACACATTCCAAAGGTACAACTTACAGTATGTGGGTACCTCAATAAAGCTACTACAAGAAGTTCCCAACTTATGACCACTCAAGGTGCAAACTTTCATAGGTATGTGCTGTGTAAGACTCACTTTGTCCGCTTATGAACTAATCCAACTTAGGAACAATTCTCCCGGAAAGGAACTCATTTGTAAGTCAGGGACTTATTGTATTAAGAAATTCTTTTTAAGGGGCTGTCTCTGGTGAGGAGGCTGTGCAGGGAGAGGAAGAGGAGGACGCTTGTCCTATCTCTCCAGAGCCAGCCTTGTGCCCACCCCAGACCAAAAGCCCTGTCTCAACTCCCTTATGTCTCTGATCTCCCCAGACCCAGCCCAGATCAGACTGGAGCCTGGAAGGTCAGGAGCTACCACAGTCCCTCCTCCCAACTCCAACAGGAATACCTCACAGCCATATCCTGGACCATGGTGCCTCTACTGCCAACACTTCTCAGGCTCCATATTCCCACCAGGACGGAGCAAGGCCTGCAGTGGGCATCTCCAGCCTAAAATCTACAGGGGCCAATCTTCACCTGGGCACTGGCCATGCCATGCACAACACACACCCAAAACGCACCTGTGGTGCTGTAGGAGGCCAGACCCCTGCCCACCAGACTGTGCCCATCTGGCTGTCACATCCCCTTCACCTCCTGGCTCAGGTCTCACAGGCAGCTCCCAGCTACTGTGAATGGATCCTGGTGGCTGTGCCCTCACTGACCTCTGTGCAGACTCTGCCCTATCCCTGGACTGAGCTGCTGCAGGACTTGGGGCTTCCCTCCACATCTCCTGCAGAGCATGTGCAGCCCAGGCCAGCTGTGAGGCATCATTAGCTGAGCAAATGACCCTGGAAGGGGGGCTGGGTGGTCCCCAGGGTAAAGGCTGACACCTGTCTTTGTTCCCTTCACAGCAAGAAGTTCACCACCAAACATGAGCTTGAGCCAGGTACTGAACGTTTGAGGCAGGAGGTAGAAATAGGGGGCTGCCAGCCATTAAGGGCTGTCCTTCAACTTCAACTCCCACAAATAAACTAGGGCACAGCTGTGACAGCTGTGTCTGTGAATACACTGAAGTCTGGGACTTCCTGTAATAGCTTTATTGAGGTACCCACATACCGTAAGTTTTACCTTTGGAATGTGTCCAGTTTATTGGTTTTTAGTGTATTCACAGACACAGCTGTGCCCTAGGTCAGCACTGGGGACAGGCTGGTTGTAAGCTCTGGGTCATGGAAAACTGAATTCTCTCTGCTTGCACTTGGGAAGCACACACCTCCAGTTGATTCCTTCTCTAGCCAAATCTTGCTGTTGTAAACTGAGAAACCACATCAACCAGGATGGCCAGGGACAACCTGGACACCCATCCCTGGGGAACACAATAGCCCCTGAGAAAGAGTAGCGCCCCATCTCACCTGGATCTGGGCTGTTGGGAGCCCAGCTGCACTTCCCTCCTCAGGGCTCTCCTCCACATGCCACATGGGGTCCTGAGGACAGAGAGCTGGGAAACAAAAAAGAAGACATGGAGGCAGCTTCCTGCAGAAGCCCCATCCCACAGCCCTTCAACCTGGGTTGTTGAGGAACAGCCCTGGCCCTCTCCTCACAGGTAGGGAAGAACCCACTTCCTCATCCTACAAAGGTCAGGAACATATCTACCATGTGAATCCCTCACCCTACGCTATGAAGGCAATGCATGTTCACAGGCTTCCTGGGCCTGAGCCCTGAACGGCTACATATTAACTCCCCTTCATCCTGTTATAGAGATAATATTACCATCACTTTCATCCCCCAGGGGAGTTTTCTGACCACTGCTTGTCCCAATTCTGCACAGACAGATCTGGACCCCAATCTCCCTACCCTAAAAATCCACCTGATCCCCAGCTCATATCCCCAGGTATGGTAGATCACTGCAGGGAGAACAAAGCACCCCATGTGGCAGGGACACAGGTTCTTGACTCACCCCAGGAGGCCCACGGGTCAACTGCTACCATCCCCCAGGACTGGTCCATAAGGGCACCTGCACAGAAGAATCAGGTTAGGATTGTGACACCGAACCTATTGATTGAAGGTAACAGAATGGAAAAAGAGACTGTCTCACTAATGGGTATGACAAAGTTCCATAAAAAGAGGCCAAGGGAATGTGAAGAATCCAACAGCAAATGCACAGGTGGACCAATGTTAGGAAAGGTTCTGACACCATGTAGGCACAGGACAAATAAAAATAAAGCCCTTTACATGGCTGAAAAGGTGTTTGGTAAAATGTAACATCATCTAATTTTTTAAAAATGTACTAGCATGATACTCTTGATGTCTTTAGTGATGAAACCTCATTTAAAGATAGAGTACAACTGACATCCACTATCATTTAACATTGTTTTAAAATTACAGATCAATACTATGTAAGTGAAAACAACAGCAAAGGTAAAAAATACGGCATCAATAAAAACGACACGTTGACTGTAGGTGTGACTCTTGTGAGAAACCCCACTAATCACTGGAAAATCTCTTAGAGCTAATGACACTTCTCAAAAGCCACTTTTCAGGAGCTAATTATAAAATATAAAAAAGTTGCAAGGTCTTTTATGGAAACAATTTCCCCCCTTAATGACCAAGCACTGCTATTTCTACTTCCCAATCACTTCTGCCTGTGCTAAGACAAACAGACCCTCTCTCTTCCCCAAAAGCCCTCAGCACCTCCTCAGATCCTCGGCCAAGGGAACTCCTAGAAAAAGAGGATTCCGACTCACCCCATGTGCTCCAGGGGTTGATGGCTGCCATTGTAAGAACTGATCAACCAGGTCCAGCCCAGGAGCACAGCAAGTGCCAACCTAAAGATCAAAGAGAGAAAGACAAAACTGGTCCTTTCTCTTACAAGATCCAAGAAGAACAAAGAAGAGAACCCATCCATGGAAACAACAAAGACTCTTAGGAAGGAAACTTCATAAGAAAACATAATTTACACATCAAAACATACCAGAATTCCTGAAAAGAAATAAACGGTAATTTCAATAAGCTGCACAAAAAAGGGCACAATCTTGAGTGAGGGTGAAAAGTGTGAGCCATCCACTCCCAATAGGGAGCTAGTCAACTCAGACAGAAGTTACCAAAGGTCCTGAAAAAAACTGTTAGCTGCAATGCTAGTGCAATCTCGGTCCAGAGCTGGGGGCAGGAAGTGGGGATCGACTGGTCTCCATGGGAGCAGGCTTTCTTCTGGATGAAAATGTTCTGGACTTGGACCGTGCGGACGGCTGCATAATTTTATGGATATGCCAGGAGACCACTGAACCGCAGGGCGAAGTGGTGCAGTGGTGGACGTGATGGGCAAACGTTATCTCAAAACACTGCATCTGCGGACTCCAGGCCGCCCGAGTGGAGGTCGGGCCAGGTCCCCGCCGGCCTCCCGACGCCGCCTCACCTGCGCCGCTCGGCCCCGGCGGCTCCGAGGCGGGCACCGAGGGCTCCGAGGCAGGCACCGAGGCCGGGCCGCGCAGCGCCCACCGGTCGCGGGCGGAGGGCACCGGGTTGGGGTGGGAGGACCGCAGCGGGCGCGGCGAGGGCGCCACGGTAACCCCCGCCCGTCCGTCCGTCCACAGGCCCGCCCGCCGCAGGCCCGCTGCCTTGCAGCCGCACCCCGGACCTGACGGCCTCCAAAGCGAAGGCCTCACCTCGGCCGCGGACAATGGCGGCGCTCCCTGGGCCGACGGAGACGCGCCGCGGGGGCCGCTGGGAGCTGTAGTCCTTGGACACCCACCCCACCCCCACCCCCACCCCCGGTCTCTGCCGGAAGTTCCGCCCGGCGCCGGGGCTGGCGGGCCGCTGGCTTTGGCGTGGACAGCGCTGTGTGGACCGCAGATCCAGGCAGGGACCGCGTTCCTTTCCGCCGCCACTGTCCACTTCGAGGGCCTGGGGACACAGCGGCGCCGGAGCCTCAGTTTACCCGTCCGCCCAGGGACGGCGGACGGGGGCACTGTCCCCGCGGGAGCTCGAGTAGGGCCGGTCCCAGTCGGGAGAGTGGCTGTCACCCTGCCCCTCTGCGGGGCGAGGCACCGAGTTCTGGACGTGACCTCGCCTACGGAGTCCGCTGCCGAGATCTGAGAGATTGCCCCGTCTCTCCTCAGAGGGCGCAGCTGCACGGAAGCCTTGAGTTGCCCTCCCATGTACGAGCTTCCCAGAGTCAGCATTCACCGGGGGAGGGGGCGGGCTGCACGGTCCCCGAGCAGACGCCACTGTCACTCAGGGTGCTGGGTCTGTCTCCCCTGCTCGCCGCCTCAGGGGAGACTGCTCTTCCTGCACGCCCAGCTTACTTTCTGAGCATTTATGAAGCGCTCACCCTGCGACCAAGTGTGCAGGTGTCCAAGGCAAGTCCGGCCAGGATCCACAGCACACGGAGGACAGGACATGTGACTTTCTCATAGCGAGACACAGTACCCGAACCCACAAGTTGGAGGAGAGGTTTAGTTTGGCTCTCAGTCTGCAGAGATTCCAGTTCACACTCCACTCCACCGGCTCCAGGGCAGGGCGGGCAAGGCAGCAAGAAGCGGTGAGAGCCAAGGAAGAGGGAGGGAGACAAACTCCTAGGCCACGCCCCCAGTGCCCCACTTCCTCCAACCAGGCTCCAGCTCCCAGCATCGTATTTAGCTAGAAGCCATCAGTGGGCTAATCCACCCATGAGCATCACGCTCCATGATCCAGTCACCTTCCGAAAGCCCCACCTATGAGGGCAACAGGCTTTGGAGAGACATCTAAATATAAACCACGGCAACAAGAAACAGGAAAGAGGCAGAAAAAGTGGCTGGGAGAGGGCAGCATCTGTCCTTGGGCTTGCACATCTGAGAAGGGAGGATCGGTCCCTTAGGAAGGGGAGAGGTGGCCCGAAAAGCACACTAACCGAAGCAGGATTCCTAAATGACGGGCGGGAAAGGCCGTTCAGGCAGAGGAGACATTGATTTAAAGGTAGGTCCCAGCAGCCTTTGCTCCTGGACTACAGTGGCCCATAGGCTCCAGAACAAGGCGAATCGGAGGCAGCCCCCACACGCAGCTGTTCACCTGGAGGCTGGGTAGGGAGGACAGGTTACAGGACTGTGAAGGTGCTGCTCCCTCTGCCAGGCTCCCTTCACTCACCCCCGTGTGCTGGGTGGAACCTGTTCCCCTGTGCTAGGAGGCCGCACGGGCTGTGTCCGTGCTGCCACTGAGGCTTCTGCGTGGAAAGAAACCACAGCAGCGGGGAAACTCGTTTCTCCTGGACGTGTGCTTCTTCCATGAGATGCCCTGCGGTCACCTATGCCATGAGCAGGGCTCCGCTGCCTCCGTTTCTTCAGAGCCAGATGATGAGCGCAAAAAGTAAAGGCAAGGGACTTTATGAGCTGGGTTGTAGGGTGCTGAATAGTGAAACTAACGGCATCCCTTCTGCCAGAGGCAGCCACTCTCCTGAGAGTGACGTCACGCCCGTAGTTCCTGAAACTTCACAATGTGTGTTCTCTGAAGCAATGCAAAGCCTTGCCTGCATTTATGTAAATGCTATGGGTACCTGAAGATTTTATCTGCAAACCTTTTTTTTTTTTTTGCTCCCAGTAGTCATCATTGTGCAATTAATATGTGAAGCTCTTTTTTATCTAACTTCACTGCTGCATACTTTCCCACTGAATAGCTGTGGGATGGTTTGTCTTCTCTACTTTGATGGCCTTGGATGCTCATTCAGTAAATACTTACTGAATCACCTAATATGCAAGGTATTATTGGAGGCTCTGAGCATGAGGTAATGAATAAAAATTGCAATACCAATGCCATCATGGAGATTACTTTCCAGAGATGAGAACACAATGGAAAAATAAGTAGAATACAGAGGATGGTGATAGGGGTTAACCTCGATGAAGAACAGCCAAGCAGGGAAAGGAGCAAGAACACTGGAGCAGCAGCTGCAATATTTAAGTTTAGGAATCAGGGAAGGCCACACTGACAGGGTGATATTCGAGCAAAGACTAGAAGACAGGGAGGAGACCCAGACACACAGATTCCTGGATGAACACTGTAGGAGAAAGGCCCTGAGAAAGATGTGGTTGGAGCAGAGGCTAAGGGAGAGAATAAAAGGAGCGCTTGGTGGGCAGGCCCCAGTGGGAGATCTCAGCAGAGAAGGAATGGACTCTGACATTGTTTTAAAATGAGAACCCCCTGCTGAAGGGAGAATAGGTTACAAAAGATGTTGATGTGAGTGTTAATGTACAGGTCTCCACATGCAGATTTGTCCCAGAGACCCTCAGAAAGGGACTGATGCTGCAACCCACACATCACATCACATCTGAAGCCGGGGAGAGTGGTGGGAAATGAAGAAAAATGAAGAAACCAAGACTATTCTTAAAAGCTGGGACCAGGTGGAACCATAGCTTGTAGGGAGCTAATGGCCACCTGGAGCACCACATGCTCTTTATTTGTAGTGGAAGGCAAACAGGGCAAATAGTGCTATGGGGCCTACATGGCCTAGGTGGAATGTAGCATGATTGTTTTGTGATCTGGGCATGTGCAGGAAGGGAACAGGGAAGGATATGCAATGTCATTGTCTCCTAGGGCTGTGCCATCCCGGGTCTATGATATTGGTCAACTCTGTTTGACTCTCTAATCTATGGGGGAGAAAGGGAGAAGGGAGGAGTCAAAGGACTATCTTCAGGCTTGGGTCCCCCACCCCTGGCAGGTCAAGTGTGAATACATAAATATATGCATATACATCTAGAACCCATAGGGATGTTGCCCTGTTTCCAAATGGATTATACCTTTTTACACTCCCACTAGTCTAAAGGTTCCACTTGTTCCATGTCTTCACCAATGCCTGATGCTTTGAGATTCCTAAGTTTCTGTCAAATGCATGAGGAGGAAACAGTAGTTTGCTGTGATACATGTACAATTCTCTTAACTAGATTCACTGTCTTCTCATGTGTTTTATGTTTCTTTTATTTTCTCTCTCCTTGGAAAAAAATCTTCATGACCTTTACCCATTTTCTATTTGGCCTTTGGTGCACGATGACAATCCAGTATCTACAGTGTCCAGTACACAATAAAAAATTACTAGACATGGAAAGAATCAAGAAAACATGACTCATAATCAAGAAAAAAAAGTGAATAGAAACATGTACTGAATGACAAGTAGCAGGAAAAAAGACATTAAAATAACTATTATAAACTGATAGAGAATTTTGTGGAAAAAAATAAAAAGAAAAAAGAAAATTCTAGAATCAAATACAAGTACAATAGCTGAAATAAACCATGAGAGGTCTTAAAAACACTGCACAAAGGAAAGGAAAGGTTCTGTGAATTCAGACACATAAGAAAAGGCTACAATGATAAAGGGAGAAAAAGAATTTTAAAACAAAACATCCCCAAAACAAACAAACCTCTCCCCCCCACAAAAAAAGAACAATAGAACATCTGATAATGAACTAACATGTGTAACTAAACTAACAGGAGGAAAGGAGAACCAGAAAGCAGAAGAAAAAATTTATGAAGCAGTAATGGCCAAAGAGTTTCCCTGATTAAAGGCAGTGTCCTGGATCCAAGAGGCTCAGCGTACTCCAAGCAGAAGCATTTCAAAGAAGACTTCACTTGAAACATCATAATTAAACTGTTGGAAACAGAATACAAAACATGCATTAAAAGTGAGCAGAGCAGATTACATTCCGGGAACAAGACAAACAATAGGTAATTTTCACAAGAAACAACGAAAGCAAAGAAGAGGTTTTTCAAAGTGAGAGAAAAAAAATCCTAGAATTCTACATCCTGGGAAAATAAATACACTTTTAGGAAAAAAAAAAAAAAAGGAAAGAATCTTTCAACATCTTACCAGACCATAATAAATACTAAAATATGTTCTTTAGATTGAATGGAAATGTTTAAAAACAGAAGCCTGGATCTACAGAAAGTCGTGAAAGGCAACAAAAAGGCTACAGTTAAGTCTCCAACTTATGAACAAGTTCTCTGTGAGGAAAACATTCAAATTCGTTTATACGTCTGACAAAGTGAGTCTTACACATACAAGGTAAATGTGTTGATGCTTTCTGACCATACAGGTCTTCCAACATATTGCTTAAGGTAACAACCTCCTTTCTATTCAGTGATTTGCCTTTCTCTTATGCTCCAGCTACTTATGATAACAGGTACACTTATAGGCCGCTAGATTTTCCTCAGATGGCATACTATTAAAAGATAACAACTTAGGGGCTGGGGATTTAGCCCAGTGGTTCTGCCGCCTGCCTCACAAGCGCAAGGTCCCAGGTTCAATCCCTGTACCAAAAAAAGAAAAGGAAAAAAAAACTTAGGTAACAGTTTTTTGTGTTTTGGAGAAGGGATGATTGCATTTAACAATGGATGTTTTATACTAAGATGGACATTTAAGTGGTTACAAAGATACTGTCACCATAATTGTCAGGCTAAAATATTATGTGTGGCTCTTGATTTGAAGGTTTTTTTTTCTGTTAACATTCTACAGGTATTTAACTACTAAAACAACCATGGTTGATAAAAATGACAGTCCCCTATATTTTATATTCCAAAATGCTTGATATCCAGGTAAAATTATAATAGTTAAATTCACTACTCCCATTGCAATACTAATGCTATTGAACTTGTCTTCTGGGTGTTCAACAACTAAAGTTTAGGGACCAAAATGAGAAAAGTAGCTGGACTAAGAAGATAGCCAATATTTTAGCCCTCCAAGGTCAATAAAAAACTCAGGAATGAGAGAATCTTCTCTGTAAGATCCTACAAATTTGGTAAGTCACTCAACCTCCTAAGCACAGAGATTGTAGACATGGAAAAGATAAGAACCAACAACCAGTGTGCCAAAGGACAATTACCTAGAGAGAAGATTATCCCATGCTATCAAAGAAAGCAACATGATCAAGCAAGGCTGTGACCCACCCTGACAGCTGACACTAATAAAAGCTAAGAAGCTCTACACGGTTCCAAGGTAATGCCTGAGAAGATTTAATTGACCTTGCCAGATAGCAAGAGGTTAATCCTAATTAATATATGTCTCACTTTAACTTGGTCTTGAACACTCAGTAGAAAAGTATAACTAAAAGATATATAGAGTCAAGAACATAGCAATAAAGCTAGATATAAAAAGAGGCTCCACTATATTTACAGAGTCAAAGACAAAAACCATATGATCATCTCAATAGATGCAGAAAAAGCATTCCACAAAATTCAACACCCATTCATGATAAAAATCTTGCAGAAAATTGGAATAGATGTTCTTTACCTCAACTTGATAAAGACTATCTATGAAAAACCAACAACCAACATGATACTAAATGGTTAAAAACTGAAAACCTTCATGCTAAAATCAGGAACAAGACAAGGATGTCCACTATCACCACTCTTATTCAATATAGGCCTTGAAACATTAGCCACAGCAATTAGATAAGAGAAAGAACTAAAAGGAATAAAGATAGGAAAGGAAGAAGTTAAACTGTAATTATTTGCTGACGATATGATACTCTACATTGAAGACCAAAAACTCCACCAAAAGACTTCTAGACTTAATTGATAGATTCAGTAGAGTAGCTGGATACAAGGTCAACACTCAAAAATCAATAGCCTTCTTGTACACAAATAACAGACTCACTGAAAGAGAAATTAGGGAAACAATCCCTTTCATGATAGCATTCAAAAAAATGAAATATCTAGGACTCAATCTAATGAAGGAAGCAAAAGACCTCTACATTGAGAACTACAGCACTCTGAAAAAAGAGATCAAAGAGGATATAAGAAAATGTGAAGATGTCCCCTGTTCCTGGATAGGAAGAATCAATATAGTGAAAATGGCCACACTTCCAAAACTGCTATATAGAGTCAATGCAATTCCAATTGAGATCCCAGCAGCACACTTCACGGACCTTGAGAAAACAATCCAAAAATTCATTTGGAACCATAGGAGACCTAGAATAGCTAAAGCAATTCTAAGCAACAGAGACATGGCTGGGGGTATCACAATCCCCAACTTGAAACTATACTACAAAGCTACTGTGATAAAATCAGCATGGTACTGT